TCATCACACCATTTCAAATTTTTGAAATGTAGGGGAAAAAAGTACAAAAAAAGAATAAAAGCATTTTAATGGACTGCTGAAATGTTTGCAGAAAAAGGAAAAAAAAAAGAAATCCCTGCTTAGAAAGTTAAAAAACAACATATCTGTTATATTTAAAGTCCTTTTATTTTTAGAAAAACCATTTGTCAATGCAGAGGATGCTAACCAGCATTGTTTAGCATCTAATTTTTCCAAGGATCTTCATCATTTTATAACCTAGGTGATGAAGAGTGTTTAAAGAGCCACAGGTAGCAGATCTCTGTCCTGGATTATTATGGGATGGCTGCTTGTTGAGTTGATCATTTCCTGTTTCTTTCTCAGGAGGGAACGAGGTCAGAGTTCGTCACAAGCTACATCCAAGCAGGAGAAGGTTTGTCTCTGCGCTTTTGCTAAAGCTTTTAGAAAAAACGAGCCCTAACATTTTAGCTTAGCACCTTTTAAAAAAGTGTTCACACCCTTTGATCTTCTCCAAGTTTTTCTGGGATCCAGCACGGAGCAGTGATTAAACGGAACGAGAAAGATGTGTTGTTATAAAGATGCTTCCGCCATTATGTGCTGCTGCTGCTGTGTTCAGGAATATCAGCCATTCTGGTCTGCTGTGATCAAATCAGCCCCTCGCACACATTGTCTTCATTATTGGATCAGACTACAGACAGCTTCTTTAACCGATGATTATCCTGTTATTCTGGGTCAGTTTCTGTAATGGACCACTGATAGTTGTCCTGGCAACAGATTTTGAGCCCTGGATCTCTGCAGCTCCTCCAGTGTTACCATGGCGGCTGCTCTGACTCATATTCTCTATCGGATCAGTAACATCTTGGTAGATCTGCAGCCCTGTGGTCATCTTTTTATTTTAGGTGATTTTTGAAAAGGTTTCTGTAAAACGTTCAAAGCTCAGCTTATTGTTAAACTTAAAGCTGATTTAACTGCTCTTCAGCGTCTTCCTGTTGCGTCTGATGTTTTTCTGGTATTCATGAAGCAGTTTGTTTTTTAACAGACCTCTAAGGGTTTATTTTAGGGATTGAATTAAACACTAAGCCCCTCTATGTTTGTTAATTAGCTGGTATGAGGCCTGCAGGTTGTTTTTAGGGATCAGAGTCGACACATTTCAACCTAACTTAAGTCTTTAATTATTTCCAATCCGATCTCAGTGGAGCGCATTAATAATCGTAGCTGTAATGTTAATAAACTAAGGGAATGTTTAAGGGGTGTGAATACTTTAGTTAAATGTAAAATAGTTAAAATGTTTTCTAATGAGGCGTCCTGTTCCTCCACAGGACGGCTGTCCATGGACTCCAGTGAAGGAGACCCGGAGGTGAGCTTGTCTGTCCAATCAGAGCAGAGTCTGTTGGTGCATGTGATCGTCCACTCATCCCGTTCCCCTTCATCCTCCCTCCCCCCCCCAGCCCTTTGAGACTCCCAACTCCTCCCCCCCATCACCATTCAGGACCCCCCATCACCGCTGCCAGAACTCGGACACACACGGCCTGTCTGACACGGTGAGACGGACACACATCCGCCGCCATGTTTCCTTCTCCTTCATTTTTCTCATTCGTCTTTTCCACATTTTTATAACAATAGATCTACGTTCTCAGTCTTTCCTGTTTCCTGCATGTTAGCAATAAATAAACGAGTACTTGTGATGTTTCAGCCATTTAAACGACATCTTTATTCATCTGTTTCTATCACAGGGTGGAAAAGCGCAGATCATCAGCCCTGAGGAGGTGGATGATGATGATGTTGATGGCTACCGCTTTAACGAGGTCTGGGTCTTTTAATTGAACCTGTCTGATCCTGTAGCTGCTTTTCTGTCTTCCTTCATGTTATTTTTCCTGTGTTTATAGATGGACGGTCCTTTCCAGGACATCGAGTTGTTAAAGTCCCGACCAGCACACATGACGGTCTTCATGAGATACGTCTTCACCCAGCTGCTGGACCCCAACCCTCTGGTCAGCTAAGATTTAGGCCGTTTCTCAATATGTGTACTTGTGCGTTCTCGTGCACTCGTGAAACGTCCTCAGCCTCAGTACTGTTCCAATTCACAAGGGCAAGAAGGCCGAGAACAGACAAAGTCCCCGGATGTTGTTCTCGCCCCTTCCTATTTACCCAGCATGCATCAGAGCAGATTTGTCCATTCTTCAAATTGACAGCTGTCCCAGCATGCACTGCGGCTTTAGAAGCTTTCAATGGAGCGCTTCATTGAATGTTAAAATCTCTATTTTCTGTTGTTCAATAAAAGTAAGTTTTAAGATCATTTGAGGCGAGAACATTATACATCTAAGCGTCACTATATGGCTTATTTACCAATTTAATGCGTAATTTAAAAAAGAAAATTCCGAAGTTGAGAGGACTGTGGCAACCAGCCGACCTCTGAGGCTAACGGCAGCTAGGGCTAACGTTAGCCCTTCTTCATCAGTCCTCTCTTGGCATAGCCGTGTGTGAAGGACCGCATGCTCTGATTGCGATTTTTTTGTTTTATTTGGCAAAATGTTGATTTGTTTTGTGTTTATCTGATCAATTATTATTCCCCCACTAAATAAAAAAAAAACAGAATTTATTAATATCTAGAGACTAAAAATAATAGGAGGTGAAATGCAGCTCTACACGGTTTGAGCATGTGTTGACTTCATCAGCAGCTTCTGTTCCGGTTGACCCATATTTATGCTGCATGCTCCCGTTCTCCCAGAGTTCAGACTTTCCTGTCTTCTTCTAAAGAACGTACTTGGCGAGGACATGAGTCCGTACTCACATTCTTGTGAACTGAGAAACAGCCCTAGTCTGTCTGGGTTTAACTGCCCAGTCATACCTTACATGGTCTCAGCTCCGCGACATAATCTGGTTTAAACAGGAATTCGAATAAACCAGAACCCCACTGAGTGTCCAACATCGTCAAACCTCTGCTGCCGTGCATTTTTTAACTTTCAGCTTTCTTTTAACTTATTTAATTTATCTTAGATTATATTCTAAATTACACTTTTCCTGACCTTCTTGCAAAAAATGGATTACCTTTGATAAACAACAGTTATCAGATCAGTTCTAGTTTTTTACTGTTATTCTTTTTTTTAATCCTGTTTCATGTTTATTTTGTGTGTTTTGCACCGAGGCTCTGGAATAACTTGCCTTGGCATATTAGATCAGCAGGCTCCCTTGAGGTTTTTAAATCCTCTTTAAAATCACATTTCTTCTCCCTGGCTTTTAATCATGTCTAAGTGGACATTTGGCAAACTTTTATTTTAAATTTTATTTTATTCTAAAATGTATTTTAATTAAAACATTTATCCTATTCTATTTTTATGTGTTTATGTATTTTAGCCTTCAGTTTTTATCTTATGTTCCTTAACTGTGATTCCTGTACAGCACTTTGGTCAAGCTGTTTTAAATGTGCTTTATAAATAAAGTTTGAGTTGAGTTGAGTTGTTTTCTGCTATGGTTAGAATTAGGTCTATGGTAAGCTGTGTTTGTATTTTATCACTCCTCACCGCCACTTTGATCTACAGCTGGATGGTGAAGATCTCTGGGGATAAACTGGGATCTTTTTTCTTATATTCCTGTTATTGTTCTTTCCTCCACAGCTGTTTTATCTGTCTGTGGAGGCGTATTTAGGCTCCAGCCCTAAAGATGCTCGGGCGCTCGCCCCTCAGATCTGCTCCCACTTCCTGGACCCAGACGCTGTATGTAGCCATCTTCTACTTTACTGTATGAACTAGTGTTTGTTTGGTAGTAAGTAAATGGAGTTTGTAGAGATTGATGTTAGTTTCTTTTCATTAATTGTGAAAATCGATTCAACCAGCGACATTTTTGATTATTGAAGGTGAACTCTTTCATTGAAATGTTTTTTTTTCTTCCAGCCTTTGAAAATCAGAGTGAAAGAGGAATATTTAACAGACATTGGTGAGACGCCTGAAAGCCTCATGAATGATCAAATATATCTCTGTGTTTGTTTGGTTTTTAGTTTTTTATCATATTATTAATGAGCCTTCCTCCTTGTAGAGAATCGCCTCCACGCCCAGGAGGACATCAGAGGGCCTCTGTCTGAGCTGCAGCAGCTGGTGCTGCCAGACATCCAGGAGTTGATACAGGACTACAGGTAGGAGACGCTAAATGCTGCTCGTTCTCCTTCCAAAACACAGTTTAACTTCACAACATATAAATCTTTAAAATGTTTGCCTTTTTTTTAACCACTGATGATTTTGACCCTTTATATCAAAAAGCTGTAGATATTTCTCTTGAAGCTCTTTAGCTTCTCGAACTCCATCTGTTTAAAGCCTCACTCTGAATTTTCCTTTGAGCTTCATTTAGTCCGACTTTTTAAATACTGAATTAGATTCAGAGACAGAGAAAACTGACTGAGTTGAAGGAAACTCAACATTAACCGTTTATTCTTCAGCTGTGCTTCTTCTCTAATATGATCTTTGTCATTGTTCCTAGAATATGAAACTAACAAACTGTGGTTTAATTAATCTGGAATTAAAGATGATTTAGAAGAGTTTATAACCTGTTTCTGAACAAAGTGAGGTTTTAATGATAATATGGTTAAAGGTGTTTTACAGTGTTTGCTTTGATCTGTTCAAGGTTTAAGATGCGGTACTGCTTGAAATATTAAAACAACGAGCAATCGGATCAAAACATTATCATTCGACCTTTATTTTTGAAAAATCTGTAGATAGAAATGAACCAAGAAACCTGCAAAGGACAAGAAATCGCTGATCTCCAGCTTACCGTATTTTCACGACCATAAGGCGCACTGTACTAAAAGGCGCAGTCTCAGTTATGTGTGCCATTATTTAACTCACACAT